ATTTAAACTTTAAGTAAGAGATTTAAGTCGGGATTTAAGTTAAGAAAATTAAAAGTCGGGATTTAAGTTAAGAAGTTAAGGAAGTTAAGAAGTTAAGAAAGTCAAGTTAAGAAAGTCAAGAAAGTCAAGTTAAGAAAGTGTACTCTGCACTTGACACGATGCACTTCACTCGATGTATTTCACTCTGACCTACTTCACTCTATGTACTATGCACTTCACTTTGTGTACTATGCACTTGACTCGATGCACTTCACTCGATGTACTTACTCTGAAGGGCTCCGCACGGAAGAACCCTTCGCGAAGTTTTCCGGAAAAAGCAAGAGCTACATGGTGTTTATGGAGGGCAGAACTGGCATGATGCCGAGGTGGTTTCAAATTTGTCATCGTGGAGTCGCGTGCGGCCGGCCATCATGTCTGTTTACAGGTCCGTTGTTGTTCAGACCAATTTTTCAAGGGTTGTTCGACATGGTTGAGTTAGTTTCTTGTTGTGTGATTTGTTGCGCGACCTTGGTTTTCGAACAACATGATGTGGCCACATGCGTTTCACTGTTTTAAGACTAGGAGGCATGTTTACAGACTCATTTACCCCGGTGCATCTGTTAGTTGTGACTGTTGATGATCTTTGATCGTGCTGCTGGAATCGAGGGAAAGCCTGGTGCAACGGTTCAAAGATGAGCGCAAATTCGTTTGTAATTGCCTTACATGATCACACACCTTCAATACGCACGTGTTTGTGCAGTTTGTGCAACAGTCATCTACGGGCAGCTTTTCATGAATGGCAAGCATTGGGATAGCTCGACCACGAAACAGGGACACAACCTAATTCGATTCGATTCCTTTTGCATTGCATTCGATTCTTTGTGCTGAAACACGAGGAGAAGAGGTGCCTGTGCTTGTCACATGATAAGTCACATGATAGTTGGAGCTTGTTGTGCTTCACAACGTGGGCAGCCATGGCTTAACTGCACCACCATACTGCGGTCGAGGTGAGGCATGGCTTTGCACCGACATTCATTGCATGTTCTGAAGATCTGTTTTGTCACATAACAAGACTTGGCTTTGTATGGAATAGTTGTTGAAGCTTTGAACCTTGTCGACTCCGGGACAGTTGTTGAACGGCCATCAGTGGCTTCATCATCTTTTGTTTGAGGAGCCGGCCTGCAAAAGGGAGGCGCAAGCAGAATCAGGTTTGCGCAAGCAAGCCGAGCAAAAGATTTCATGCGCAAACCACTAGTCGGGACCAGTAACTCATGAACTCCAATCCCATTCTGCCACGTCAATTTGTCAAGTTATAAGTTGGTTGCAGGCGGGTATTGCCTTGAAGCTCGAATGCAGCAGATTCATAATGCAGACTGTACTCCGGCTACGAAGACAATTTTGCAAAACAGCAGGGGGATTGTGGAACACCGGTCGATATCAAGCTGTGGAAACTTTCGAGTGCAGGCAGCACGGACGATGGCAGCCCCCTGGCCGTTGCCACGGGCCGGTTCTTTCTGCCGACGCTGTTTTTCCGTAGGAGTCAAGTTGCAACTCCAAGATCAAAAGATGACATTGCATGTTCGCCATTGCAGGCGCAGGTCTCGCGAGGAGCGCCGTGGTGGGCGTGGAGCTCAACGGCTCTCTTTTCCTTCGTGTTGTGGATTCGATGAAACGTGCTCCGATTGATGTAGACAGATTTGTGCCTCGGGTTCACCGCATGTGGGTTCAAACAGAGTTTAAATTCCTCGCTTGGTTCGTAGTTGATCAACAAGATTGGCAGAGTTCCAGTGATCGCACATGGCATTCATGAGTAATTGTTTCTTGTACTCCCAAGGTATCACTGCTCTCTGGTGTGAGCTGTGGTGCTGCTTTGGTGCTTCTTTGGCGATTGCTGAGTCTGTGGAGGCCAAGATCGCGATTTCTGAATAAATTAGAAGAATCATCATATCGGTGCAAGTTGTGAAATTGCAATTGAAGAAGTAAACCCTCGCTTGAGAAATGTTCCATGGGTCGTCAAGCCTCTACTTGTTGCCGCATGCTTTTGCTCATGCCTATGCTCTGATACACTACTTCAGATCTCTCATGTGCTGGTCATCCTGTCGCCAGTCTTGCTCTCAAAGGCCTCCTTGCTTCCGAGTCAAGAACATCCGTCTAAAAATTCTCTGAGGCCTCATGGGAGTATTGTTTACACAAGTCGGACATGACGGCAGCGTTGACCCCAACGTGCTTGACGGTTGGTGTGTATGCAATGATTCGGGCCAAGCCGATTGCTGGGATCAGCGCAACAGTGCGAAAGAGATGACGGACTGCAGCTGCGAAAGGATCCTTTCCCAGCGCCTGCTGCGGCCGGCATTGCCCAAGGCCTGGATAGTCTCCAGATTTGTATTCGGCAAGTCTTTTAGAGTTACAGATTGGGTATGCTATCGGTCCTGTGCAACGGGTGCTGAAGCGGGCTGGGCCCGTGCTGTGTTCGGTCCGCACGGTTATTGTATGTGGGACTGCTATTATGATACTCGGCAATTTATGCCAAACGTGTGTGTTCCAGCCACAGATCTCGCGGAAGCACGAAGCGGTGTGTGATGGGCATGTGCTTTTTTATCACGGCAATGGCATGCCAGGGCCTAGACAGTTGCAACACCCTTTCTTCTTGCGCTGCTTTCAGGCAGCCCCCGGCACCCTGCAGGTGAGCTCAGAATTTGATGGGCTGTGGGCCTGCCGATAGGCTGATAGGCGTTTCGCGAACTTCGTCATTTGCTAAGCTGAGCCTCACGCCTTCCAGTCCGAGGTGTCTCGTTCACCTTACACGACTAAGTTAGCCTTTACTCAGCATTTCGTTCTGCGAGGCGGCACAACCAATTGCCGAAGGCATGGCCTGGTTTGGTTTATCAACCGTGCTGGGACGTCGTGCTCGTCTGTCATCATGCAAAGTTATTAGGAAACTGATGTCTTTAGAAACCAGGCAGCTATCTGACACACCTATGATTTACAGCTACATGTTGCGAGTTGTTGAAGGGAGGATAAAGAGTAGAGTCTAGTATAGTGAGAAGTCGCAGCATGAGTTGTATCCTTGAATGCATGCACCGCTCTAGATGGTGATGAGAGGATGCTTGAAGTTTCCCCGAGTCACATGTTAGAACCCTTCCCCATCTTGGACTGACAGCCCGCAATGGGTCACTAGCATCTAGAGAGGCATGCAGCATTCATATTCTAGATGTCCAGAAGGGGACAAGAAGCCACTCAGCCCAGCTCGTAGGCGACCGCCTGGGCGAACGTCTCGCAGAGCTCGTCACCTCTCTTCGGGGCCATGCTGAGGAGAACCGAGCCCGAGTTACTAACATGCAAGTGCAGAGCTTTCTGATTTCTTGGAGGCTCCGTGCACAAGATCTTGCTTGTCAGGAGACTCGGGAAGCCACAGCTTCGTTGCGGAAGTCGGTGGAGCAGCAGCATCTCGTCAGTTCGCGCGCTTCCGCTGTTTCCATACTACAACCGAAACTGACAGCCGCACTGCGGGGGCCTGAAGTCCGGCATCCGAGGCAGCGACTTTACCAGATGGCTGCCGCAGACTTCCAGCGGAAGCTGGACGAAGCCTGCAAGAGGCGGAGTTTGGGATGTGGCCTGGGCCTGGGTCCCGGCTCCTCTTTGTTTCCTCTGCTGTGCAGGAAGGTGACCACCAGCCGCATGGAGTTGGCCTCCGAGCCGGGGGGCCCCGACGCTGCGGTGTGGTACGGCAGAGCTGGAGCGCTTGTGGGGTGCGATAGAAAAGGCTTCTTTCTGGTTCCTGAAATACTTCCGTAACTTAGCTTTGTTGCAAAGGTCATTGCAGATGCTTCGCTCGCTGGTGGCAGGTCCGAGTCCCAGATGTAACTCTCTGCTGGTCATCCTGAGATACGCGATACTTGCGCCTTTGTCGATTTGTACTGTAGTCGGGAACCATTCACTCGCGAGCCTCATGCGCTCGCACGGAACATGGCAATGTCATTCTGACCTTGCCCGTGCACCGCGGGCCCGGCTTGAACCAGACGCCTTCCGAATCCGAACGTCCGCCGATCCCTAGAGGCCGGACCGCCGGCAGCCTGGAAAACGGCGATGCCTCGAACCTCAGTTGCTGCCAAGTGCTTGGGCGTTAGGCACTCCGGGTCCCTGGATAGAGGATCAGGCAGCGAACTTCGTTTCTTTGCAGAACACCGGGAATGTAGGTTTGAGCCGCTTCCAGGCTCCGAAGGAGAACTGGCCGCGATGGTTCGAAAAGGTCCTGATCTCAGCTTGCCACGATGCACCCAGCTCCCTCTGCAAAAAACCGATTCTGGACCGAGGCCGACGCTGCAGTGCAAGGCTTGCTCCGAACCGCGGGCACTGCGGCGGAGGCGGGGTTCAGGGACAAATCCGAGCGTGCACGACGGCGACAGGCAACTCCTGAGGCTCCTGGTCTGAAGGACTGTAGGATGTCGGGTCTACGTTTGAGGGTTCGGGTTTTACCATCGTGTTTTCATCGCAGGGGTTTTTAGGGTTTAAGGTTTGGGCTTAGAGGTTCGGCTTCAGGGTTTGAGGTCCGGGGGGTTCAGCTGAATTTTTTTTCACACTTCGAAGGCCGCCGCAAGTATCTCAAACAGGGTGTCTTCAAAGCTATCATCCCAAATCAATATCGATGTCTGAAGCCTGGAAAGTGCGCTTGGACGTGTTCGCTATGCGGGTGCACCCAGCTGGAGGCTCGACGCTGCATCCAGACATTGTCCATGATCTTGCAGAACCTGGCGGGGGCTCCCGGAGTGTGGAGCCATTAGCAGAGTTTTGTTGCCACCAGTAAGGTGGCGAACCCCGGACAGGAACGCTACCGCGAGGCGCCTCAAGAACCAATTCCGAGAGGGAAGGGATCTTTGGAAAGCTGCAAATCCGAAATGCCCACTGGCAATTTCCTCCTTCCTTGCTCCTTGCCAGGGCTGCGGTTTCTGGGGCGCAGAACCAACTTGCTCAGCCTTGGAACTAATCCAGGGAGGCATCCTGAAATCGCATGCTTCTTTGCAACGGTAGGAGCTGGCGTGAAAGCTCACTTGCGGTGCTTTTTTGTGTGCCCTTCCTGGCAAGCTATGCCAGATACCACAGTCTTGGGAGATTCAGATGCTCCCATTCCCGTGTGCGTGTGCCGAGTCAACCTTTTGGCAGGTGAACTTGTCCAGCGCAAGGTTCAAGGAGCTGATCGGTTCAGTTTTTGGTCCAAGCGCCAGAAGCCTCCTGTTAGCTAGCCCCCTGTTGAGAGGAGACCTTCAGCGACAGCAGCGCAGCTGTCGAGCTCCTGAAGGCCTCTGAACTTTTGGAGTTTTCCTTTTTCGCTCTTTTTGGGGGGTCCTTTCCGCGCGCTCCTTTGTGGCTCAGAGGTGGCCGGCTTCGAGGACTCCGAGGCCGGGCTCCGGGGCCCCGAGCGCTTGGCCGAGGCAGGGCAATTTTGGGCCCCACAAACGGCGCCTCAAAAGGGTTTTTGGAGAAAGGCGCTTTGGGATGCTTTGGGGTACTTGGGACAGAGTGGGGACTCGAGCTTGGGGCCCTCTAGGGTTTAGCTTCCTAGAGTGATCGGGACCTTTCCGACGCCACCTATATTTATGGTGCAGGGATCTAAGTGGGTTAGAGCTAGGAGCCTGGCCACAGACTCTTCCCAGGCAGAGCGCTTGCGTGACATCTTGCAGGACGGGCGATACCGGCTCTTGTGCTTCAGGATGTTCGCTATCTGAGAAGACTGCAGCCGCAGCGCAGAGTTGAAAATGCCAGGTGTCACCTGTCGGACATTCTGGGAGTAATTGTGGGTTGCATGTTGACGGGCGAAGGCAAGGCTCACGTCGTGTGCTCTGCTGCTCGCGCGTGGACCGGGAGTGTGTCCCATATCTGCCTGCTGGGGTGTCTACATTTTGGCGATACAATGGTGTAGTTTTGCACCGTACAACGCATAGGACTTTGTATAGCCATGGTACAGTTGTCATGATAACCGCGTTGCGATTACTGCTCGAGCCCTCTGAGTAAAAAGGTAGTGCACAGCCTTGCTCATGGCTTAACGGCGTACCCTGTGGATTCTATGGGTTATCAGCCGTATCTGCTACTATCGCTGGTGTGGTATTGCATCTATTTGTATGAGTGACAGAAGTCCGTCCCTCATCGCCACCGAAGTTGCAAC